GAGGGGAGGGGAGGGGAGGGGGGATAGTAGAGGATAGGAAAGGCAGCAGAATACAACAGACATGAGTATATCAATATGTAAATCAATGGAAGTGTAACTGATGTGATTCTGCAAGCTGTATACAGGGTAAAATGGGAGTTCATAACCCACTTGAATCAAAATGTGAAATATGATATATCAAGAACTATGTAATGTTTTGAACAACCAACAATAAAAAAAAGAAAGAAAAAAAAAAGAAAAAAAATACACAAGCAGCTTAAATATGTCAGGGAAGGCAAAAGGCTCACACCCATATGTATTCTTAGGAAATTACAAAATATCCAAGTTTTAAAAAAAGACCTTTCCTTCCTTGGGCCAAGGTGGGTGCTGGTCCGTGCAAAGAGAATGTCAGTCAGATCTGTAATGTTTCTCAACATATTTATTAGATAAGAGATAATGGGGAAAAAAACCACTTCAAAATACTGAGAGAAAATAAWTTTGAGCTTAAAATTTCTCATATAGAGCAACTATTAAGGTAGTATGAGAACCAGTTCAAGGTATCTTGAGGTATGTGATTATCCCTCAAATTCATCTCCTATTCATTTTTTAAAAGGACTGCCCCCCTCTACCCCCAAGGGTGCACTGATACAAGGAAAAAAAAAAGAAACAGAAGAGAAGAAGGATATTGAAGAAGATGGTAGGTCTATACTAGAAGCAGATGTCAGAGGTCCTAGGGGCAGAGGTTCCTGAGGGAGTAGTCAGGGACAGAAGTGGGTCCCATCCACAGAAACTATGATTCTATGATTCAGGGAYTATGTGACTTGGCAAACAGGTAAAAGATATATTTATTTATTTATTTTTTCCCAGTAAGAAAAAAGAAAATGAAATTTTCTGGGTGGTGTGCATGTCACCACATACAATGTTATCATTGACAAAACGGAACAGTTTTGGCTTAGACCAGTGCACTGAATTTATAAAGTAATGTTCACCTTTTGAACATTTTGTACACTTTGTCTTTCTCAACAAGTGACACTGGGAGGAAGCTTTGCTGTTCCATTTTACTAAGAGGCCTGAACTGGGAAGGCTAAATAAATAACATGCCCTGTGCCACGGCTAAGACAGGGTCCTGACCGCTCTGCTCCTGCTCCAATGTTCTCCCTCACTGGAGAGGCCCCACGGGGGTCTAGAGTGACAGGGAACACATGCCAGTCATCTGATTTTTAAAAAAATATTTATTTTTTAGTTGTAGATGGACAGCATGCCTTTATTTCACTTATTTATTCTTATGTGGTGCTGAAGTGCCTTACGTATGCGAGGCAAGCGCGCCACCACTTGAGCTACATCCCCAGCCCAGTCATCTGATTTTTAAAACTGACTTTGCATATCTTTGGACATGGGTAGATTGATGTTCTTTTCAATCCTGTGCGGCAGGGTCATGTGTGAGTGTTGAATGACCCAAAATCGTTTTTTAGCAGGCCATTAAAACTCATGCAAAACTTTGGAAATAAAAATAGTTAATTTGAATAACCAGCTGGTTAATTACTATAGGTTAGTAATGTGACATTTCCACAAATCTGATTAATTTTTCCTGACCTTATTAAAGAGCTGACCTCCCTGGACAGGTCAGTCTTGTTTTCTAGAATCGAATTCCATCCCTGGGATCAGTTTGGGTTGGAGACTTGACAGAAAGGGGGAAATTCATGAGCTGGTTTATACCCCAGCAAGAGGGCAGATCTCTGCCATGTGATCCTGTGTCTCTATGTATCCCTCCATGTCTTCCCATGTTCCCCTGTGTCCTCTGGGGTCCCCTGTGTACTGTGTCCCCATGTATCACCCTGTGTCCCTCTGTGTCTTCTGCATCCTCCTATGTCCCCTCTGCCTCCCCGTCCCTGTGTCTCTCCCTGAATCTCCCCCATATCTTCTCTCTGCTCCCCCATATCCTCTGTGATCCCTGTTTTTGGTCTCTGTTTCCCTGTGTCCCCTTCCCCTGTGTTCTCTCTGTGTCCTCCTTATGTCCCTCTATGTCCCATCTGTGTTACTCTTTGTCTCCTCCATAGCCCTTTGTGTCTTTTCTGTGTCCCTTATTCCCTAGTGTCCCCCTTTGTCCTACTATGTCCCCTCTTGGTTTCCTGCGCCTGCGGTGTCCTCTTATGTCCCCTCCTTTCCCTTCCTCTATTCGCCCACCAAGGACTGATGCATGGAGTCTGCATTCGGACAGGCCCATAGATGCCATAGCCGTGGGAAACAGACACTTTGACAATTGACATCCTTCTGAAAGGTCACCTCCACCTCCCTTGTCCAAGTGGGGCTCCACCTCCTTGCCCTGGAGCCAAGACCTATGGTGATACACGTGATCCGCACACGGGGAAGCATCAGCTCCTGGTCATGGGCACATTGGGGCTGATAGGGATGGACCAACTCCTTACCTATCAGCTTCAGGTGACTTTTTTTGGTGGCCTGGTCTGGCCTCAGACTCCAGCTTTTACAAATACAGCATCATTCTTGAAAATGGGGACATGCCTAATGGGACAGATCAGCCAAGGCCTTGACAGCTTGTCTATGGGACTGACAGGAGCTCATGCAGATGGGCCCTGGCAGGCGAGTTGTGCCACCACTGCTTGTAGGGTGCTGCTGGTAAGTGCTGGCCCCTGGTTTCTGGGTTCCGTATTGTCTTTCTTGCCATATCCCTGTGGGTACAGGGAATCTGCTGGCCCCCCAGTCAGGTAAACTTGAACACTCCTTTCTTTGGAGAAGAAAACCTCCACAGGGAGAGGAGAGGTGGTTACCTTTGGTCATGACGATGCCTGCTAGTGCTTTGTGGCGGGCATGCACAGACGTCAGGCCAACCGTCAGCTCACGGAACTTCTGTGTGACCAGCTGGGACACAGAGTCGGCGAATTCCTGAAAGACACAAGCACCAGGGCTCTTTGACTGGTGAGCAGAAGCAGCGGGTGAACAACTGCTCTGTGTCCTCTCCTTCTCAGCCTCGTCCCCATGTAGGCATCCGGGGTGCCCCTCATAGAGCACCTCCTGCTGTCACATGCATGTGACTGCTGTCTGTATGGCTTTGCCCAATGGCCTTAGGAAAGAGTTGATTGTAATTAACCCCCAGTGTCACCCATGGCAAAAATCCAGACCTGTGCCTGGTCAAGAGACCTCAGCATGGGTTTGGTGCTCAATTCCTTCTTCCTTCTCCTGCCCCAGAGCAGTAGGTTCCCAAGAGTCTTCCAGGTAGACATTGATTGAAAGCATCCTGATAGGGGAGGGAGGATTTGCACATGTTGGACAACTGGCCACCACTTTCTTCTCGGTATCACAAAACCAATTTTTAACTAGTGGGCACATCTCAAGGTACTCTCCAGGCTGAACAACTCTCTATAGCTCACGTGCCAAGGTCTTTTCTCACCTTCCTGCAAATGTCCACACGAACACACAGACCACACATTGCACAGAGCATGTGCCTATACACAAAACGTGTATACACACAAATTCATGCATGCAGTCATAATACGCAATGCATGTACACGTGTGTGCACACGCAGATAATGGTACATGCATGTATGCACATAGATGCACATACACAAACACACACACACAAATGCACACACAGAAGTGTGCACACCAAGCTGGAATCTCCCCTATTGAGCTGTCCTAAAGCCACTCCATATCTCTGTAAAAGAAGTGTATGTATGGCAACAAAGCTGCAGAGCCCAGAAAGCATGGCTTTGTGGTCATCCTTCCTCCAACCCCTCCAGGTCCTGTGATTAAAACATCACCTTTGCCTAAATGTGAGGCCCCATGACTTGTCACTAGGGACAACATGAGTGGCGTGATTGTCACAGGCCTTGGAGTAGGGAAACCTGCTAGGAGTCTTGGTTCTGTAACCTCTGAGCTTGGGCAAGTCATTCAAAACCCCTGAGCCCTGTTTTTTATTTCCATCTGATAGTGTTTTTGTGAGGAGTGAATGAATCGGTTCTCCCTAAATGCTTAGCTCAGTGCTGCACACTTGGCAGGTGCTAAAAATGATGCTTGTAACTATTACTTTTACTGTGTATTTTCCCTCAGTCTTTGCTGCATTGACAAAACCATTATGTAGCCAAATCAAACCATCAGTGTATCCATAAGGTGGGTAAGCAGTTCATTTTGGGGGATGACTGGGTTTTCATATTTTCAAAAGGTACATTTTGATATTGTACAAGGCATGAAAGCAGATATAGACAGATTTCTGATATAAAAAGATAAGAGAGATAAAGAGTTTTTTAAAATCCCATTTTTATGCAATAAAACATATCCATGTGAAAATAGTGCTGCCACCTGCTGCAAAAATAATCTGATGCTTCTTCCCCTCCCAAGTCCTCAGTGGGCAGTAAAGGTGGGCAGCAGAGAGGGAGGGCCGGTGCTGTCTCTTCTGGATGCAGCCTCTGGGATTCCTGGGCCTTTCCCTGAACTACTGTAGCTGTGCTGGTGAGTGCTTGTTGCTTTTCAAATGCACCTTAAGTAAATATGGAAACCCTATGTAGGACAGATGCCACACAAACTGTGTGTGATGCTGGGAGGAGAGGAAAGAGAGCAAGCCCTGGCTCTTTGGGCACCACTGTGTACTTGAGGTCTCCCTGGCTGCTCCTCCCACCCAGGCTATTTGGTGTGAAGCCACAGAGACATGGAATTGTAGAGGCTTGGAGGTTGCTTTAGGTTATCCTTTTATGTCCTGGAAACTGAGGTCCAGAGAGGACAGTCTATGTTCCCCACATACCCTGTGTGCTGGGTCCTGGAGCTGCTGGGAAAATCTGGACAACAGGGATTTATGCTCTCACAGCTCTGGACGCTGAAACCCAAGATTAGGTCAGTAGGGCCCACTCCCTCCCGAGGCAACAGGGCAGGATCCCTTCTGTCTCTTCCAGCTTCTGGTGGCTCCGGGAATTCCTGGGCTTTGGGCTAGATTGTCCAAATTCTGCTGGTCTTCATGTGATCTTCTTCCCTGTGTGTGTGTGTCTTTTCCTTTCCTATTTCTTATAAATACACTAATCAAAGCGCTTAGGACCCACCTGGGTAATCCAGGATGAGCCCATCTCAAAATTCTTAACCTGGTTACACCTGCAAAGACCTATTGTCCAAATATGGTCACTGTCATCAGATCTGATGTGTCTTTTGGGGGCTGCCATTCAGCCCCCCTGCAACTTGTCCTTCGACTTCATACTGTAAAAGAGAGGCCATTTTCCACAGAGGCATGAATTTGGTTAATTTCCACTTCTTGGTTTGGAGGAGCCTAATTCTTAATTTGAGTGAGAGGAGGAAAGTGTTGATCTGATTTCCCTGGGTGTCCAGATCACAGCGCTGTGGTCATGGATTAATGTCCACAGGGCCAGTCAGTAGACAAGAGCCTCATAACAGTCCCTGGGTCTCATCAAGAAGGGGCCTCCCCCATCTAAAGACAGGGTCTGACAACAAATCAGAGTGGAGGTCATCTAACACCACCTGCGCCTCTTGAGAACTTGGAGCCAAGTTGGGGCTTGGGGAGGGGTGGCCAAGGGACAGGAACTGTAGAGTTCCTACCTCCAGGGGGAGTGAAGCTCTCAGAGTGAGAATCCCAAAGCCCTCAGCTATCACCTTGGCATTTGAAAATCAGCCGCTCAGCCCGGWATCCAAATGAATAACAAAGAGATAACAGTAGCCCCTATCACGTGGTCTGTGGCGGGCGTGGGGTCCCCATCTCTACCCTTTCAGGGCTGATAGGTGTCGCTGGAGGGAGAAAATATTTCTGGGTCCAGATTCAGTAAGACAGCCCTGGCCTGGTCCCTGGAGATGGATGGAGTCCTGTGTTCTGTAAGGCTTTGGGGTTTGAGGTCTGGGCTGGGTCTGGGAAACAGGGTGGGGCTGGTCCCTGGGCCTGAAGCACCTGTCCCTATAGTCACTTGCAGGTGGGGCTCAGGCAGGAAGGTGTAGGGGCTCCCATCTCATCAAAGGGGTCCAGAGAATCTTTGTCTAAAGCTAATGTTTGAGATGAAATTTGAAAGAAGAGAGGGATTTGTTACATTTCTTTCTGCAAACTTCTACTTCTCAGGTAAAAGAATGAGTTGTGCCATCTCTCTGAACAGCTCRGTAGCACGCAACAATTGAGAAGAAATCCATCAGCTGTTTTACTGGCAGAAGCACCTGAGCTTCAACTGTGGGGAATGACTTTCCGTAGGTGGTTGGGATGCATCGTGTGGGCGGAGGGTGAGCCTATCCTTTGTCCTTTTACCCTCTGGAATCAATTTCAAATTGTTCATGTATGTTAATCTCCACTCCCCAAGATTTTAAGTTTCAAGGGCAAAGTTATACCTTTTTCTTCTAAAATATCTCACTGTGCTGGGCAACTGATTCCCGTGCATTGTGTGTTCTACCGAGATATTCTAAATGGTGCTTTCAATTATTCTTCATAAAATCAAGTTTCTCCATATCCAAGGGTGATGAGAATGCCCAACAATACTGTGTGTCTGCTGGATAGGGCTCCCTAAGGCTCTCAGAATAAGCTGTCCCCAAACCACCAAGAAATGTCAGAGAGTATGCATTAACTGGCTGTGCTCTGGAAACCTAAGGACGGCTCTGCTTCCTTTAGAGATGGGGAAATAACCAAAGAGCAATAGCAGAGACTTCCATGTGCCAAGCATGGTGCTGGGTCCTACATATGCATTGTCCCATTTAATCCTCACAAGGGAGGCACTGATATTGTCCTTTTAAATCAATGAATGGAACCAAATCACATGGCCCGAATGTGGCWGACACAGAGCTTAAACCCAACAGATTTGACTCAGACCCTTCATGCTGACATGGTGACTAGATGGCACTGAGGAAAAGTGGGACTCTCTGGAGACCCCTCAAGTGCTTCAGCACCACTGCTAATGAAACATGACTGAATGTGCACCGTCATCCTGAGAAGGGCCCCGTGGTCCCTGGACACCCTCCAGATCTGTATCCCAGGATGCTTTGCACCCATTCTGAACTAATTAGCCCTGAGCCACAGCCATTCTCTAATGGCATCATTTGAGGAAATGCTGAAGCAGAACAAATCACATTTCCTTTTGGATTTCAGCATTTCCACAGATGAAGGCTTTTTGGCTCACTCCACTTGGTAAAGCACATAGGCCAATGGGACTTCAGGTGGGCTGTGCTCTTCAGAGAGTGACAAGGACCTCTGGCGAGCAGAGACAGCCTCAAACTGAGCAAAACAGCGTGGTGACTTTGCTGGTGAGTGTCCCCCAACCCAGCTGTCTCCAGGGGGCCTGGGACGCAGCTGCCAGCTGTATGACCACGGTGCTGGGTGCTGCATGCTGCATACTTGGTCCTGGGAGGGACAGCTCCAATTGGTGTGACTGCTTCCCACCAGGGTGGGTGGGGCATTTCGCCCTCCTCATATCTGTGTGCACCACTGATGCCAGATCCTGTTTCTAAATCAGTCAAGCTCACCCTCCATTTCCAGCATTTGGAGGTCCTCTCAAGCTTCTGCAGCCCACTGTGGTTACAGCACTGGCAACGTCCATGCAGGGGTTTATGAATATTTTGTCTTGTTTGGTTTTCTAACCATTTCCAGCTTTTAATGATACAATCTCAACTTAATATTGCACTCCTGGTTGGGGACACGGCTCACCTTGGTGTTGCACTTTCTCAGCCCCRTCCTGGCACTGTGTGTGATCCCAGATGACACCAATCAGGGTGCAAAACTGGAACAGAGGGCTGAGTGTGTGAACCCGTGAAATGATCAGAGGTGAACTTTAGACAGGAAGTGGCTGTCTATAGGGCAGAAATGTTAGGGAAAAAAATCTGGAAAATGTTTTTCATTCATATTCTCAATCTTCTCCCCGCCCCCTCAACTTTAATAGTCTTTTTCTAATGCAGATTGTGTGGCTTTAAACAACAGAAGT